CCTTCGAGGTGTCCAGAATGACCGTTGACAGCCTCTATCACCTCTCCATTCGACAGACTTACAGTAGTCTAACGTTTCTTCCAGCCTCTCGATTCCGTTCCAGAGGTGGTTTTCTTTGACGTCCCCAGAATGATCATTGACAGCCTCGATCACCTCTTCATTCGACACACTTGTTCCAATGTCTCTCCAGCCCCTCGATTCCCTTCCAGAGGATGTTTCCTTTGAGGTCCTCAGAATGATCACTGACAGCCTCGATCACCTCTCCATTCGACACACTTGTTCCAACGTCTCTCCAGCCTCTTGATTCCCTCCCAGAGGCGACTTCCTTTGAGGTCCCGAGGATGGTCGTTGACAGCCTCGATCACCTCTCCATTCGATACGCTTGTTCCAACGTCTCTCCAGCCTCTCGATTCCCTCCCAGAGGTGACTTCCTTTGAGGTCCCCTGAATAATTGTTGACAGCCTTGGATCACCTCTCCATTTGACACACTTAATCTAACATTTCTTCCACCTCTCGATTCCCTTCCAGAGGTGATTTCCTTCGAGGTGTCCAGAATGACTGTTGACAGCCTCCATCACCTCTCCGTTTGACTGATTTCTTCCAGCCTCTCGATTCCCTCCCAGAGGCGACTTCCTTTGAGGTCCCCAGAATGGCCGTTGACAGCCTCGATCACTTCTCCATTTGACACACTTGTTCCACCGTCTCTCCAGCCTCTCGATTCCCTCCCAGATGTGACTTCCTTTGAGGTCCCCTGAATGACCGTTGACAGCCTTGATCACTTCTCCATTCGACACACTTGTTCTAGCGTCTCTCCAGCCTCTCGATTCCCTCCCAGAGGTGACTTCCTTTGAGGTGTCCAGAGTGACTGTTGACAGCCTTGATCACCTCTCCATTCGACACACTTGTTCCAGCGTCTTTCCAGCCTCTCGATTCCCTCCCAGAGGTGACTTCCTTTGAGGTGTCCAGAGTGACTGTTGACAGCCTCGATCACTTCTCCATTTCACACACTTGTTCCAGCGTCTCTCCAGCCTCTCGATTCCCTCCCAGAGGTGACTTCCTTTGAGGTCCCCTGAATGACCGTTGACAGCCTTGATCACCTCTCCATTCGACACACTTGTTCCAGCGTCTCTCCAGCCTCTCGATTCCCTCCCAGAGGTGACTTCCTTTGAGGTCCCCTGAATGACCGTTGACAGCCTTGATCACCTCTCCATTCGACACACTTGTTCCAGCGTCTCTCCAGCCTCTCGATTCCCTCCCAGAGGTGACTTCCTTTGAGGTGTCCAGAGTGACTGTTGACAGCCTTGATCACCTCTCCATTCGACACACTTGTTCCAGCGTCTCTCCAGCCTCTCGATTCCCTCCCAGAGGTGACTTCCTTTGAGGTGTCCAGAGTGACTGTTGACAGCCTCTATCACCTCTCCATTTGACTGACTTACAGTAGTCAAACGTTTCTTCCAGCCTCTCATTTCCCTCCCAAAGGCGGCTTCCTTTGAGGTCCCCAGAATGGCCGTTGACAGCCTCGATCACCTCTCCATTTGACACACTTAGTCTAATGTTTGTACAGCCTCTCGATTCCCTTCCAGAGGTGATTTCCTTCTAGGTCCCCAGAATGATCATTGACAGCCTCGATCACCTCTGCATTCAACATACTTGATCTAACATTTCTCCTGCCTTTCGATTTCCACCCAGAGGTGATTTCCTTTGAGGTCCCCAGAATGATCGTTGACAGCCTCGATCACCTCTCCATTCGACACACTTAGTCTAACGTTTGTACAGCCCCTCATTTCCCTTCTAGAGGTGGCTTCCTTCGAGGTCCCCAGAATGATCCTCGACAGCCTCGATCACCTCTCCATTCAACACACTTGATCCAACATTTCTCCAGCCTTTCGATTTCCTCCCTGAGGGGATTTCCTTTGAGGTCCCCAGAATGATCGTTGACAGCCTCGATCACTTCTCCATTCAACACACTTGTTCCAACATTTCTCCAGCCTCTCATTTCCCTTTTCGAGGTGACTTGCTTCGAGGTGGGCAGAATGACCATTGACAGCCTCAATCAGCTCTCCATTCGACACTCTTACTGTTAGATCTTGAGTCATCGCTCATCCCCGAGTCATCACCCACCACACTTTTTGGGTGAATATCTATTTCCAAAAAACGGAGTGATCGCTCACCCCTACAAGTACCCCAACGCAGACTCCGCAGTCCGCACCATTCATCCTACCTGAATGGCACGGCCACAGACCTTACGGTTGGAGGACGTCCATGACAAAGTAAAACGAAGGATGGAAATACACTGTTCCTCCCTGATTTTGCAACCCCGAAGTCAGAGTGCATGCGTGTGAAAGGAAAATGATGGAGATAACAGAATGAAATTTTGTTTCGCTTACAAAAAAGTTTGTTCAGACAAAACAAAAAGTCGGAAAGATAACACAAGCAGTAACCCATTCAGGGATTGTGAGGTCAGCAAACGCGCCATATCCTGGAATGTAACTGCGGAGAAAGGGTAATTGAAGATTTGCTGGACGCAGACGTTTATAAGGCGTCCCATTTCAAGCTCTGTGTTCGTGGTGCCGTCTGCATTGATAGCAAGCCGCCCACGAACGTACGCATGTCGCCTGGTTGGATTTTCTATTTTCTTGTTGACATTTTTTTATTACTAACGGAGAACATAGCGGTGTTAGAAACATGCTTTTATGGTACAAGCGTTTGCAGTGTATGCCGATAGGCAGTGTTCATTTCGCGTATGCGAGCAACGGACTTTGCAGTAGTAAAACATTCTTTTATGTGCACTTCTTGCATAAAACAATAAAACTATTTTGAGTTTTGAGTTTAATCAATCTTTTGTGCAGCCACACTAGATATGTACAGGAAAATGGACGGTTTTCTAAACTTTTTGTGCTCATCCACCGAGACATGGCCCACCCCCACTTTTCTTTATGAATTGTAGGTGGCAGTGGGATCGGCGATGATTTAGGATATTACGGTAGCCGAACGTTTCTCCAGCCTCTTGATTCCTTCCTAGAGTTGACTTCCTTTGAGGTTTCCAGAATGACCATTGACAGCCTCGATCACCTCTCCATTTGACGCACTTGTTCCAACGTTTCTCCAGCTTCTCACTTCCCTCCCAGAGATGACTTGCTTTGAGGTCCCCAGAATGACCATTGACAGCCTCAATCACCTGCATTTGACAAATTCAGTCTAACGTTTCTCCAACCTCTCAATTCCCTTCCAGAGGTGACTTCCTCGAGGTCCCTAGAATGACTGTTGACAGCCTCGATCACCTTTCCATTCGACACAATTGTTGCAACATTTCTCCGGCCTCTCAATTCTCTCCCAGATATGAATTCCTTTGTGAAGTGACTTGGACAAAGTCTCAAGCAGGCTGAATGTTTATATGTGGGTTCTGCCTCTTTTCAACGTCTTGGCATGTTAGTGAATGAATGAAAGAAATAAGAATGCACGGAAGGAATGAGTAGATTAGGAGCAGATGACAGCCATGTCACTGTTAGTGACAGCACGGGTCGCACAGTCATTGTTCGACATAGCACTCCTCCACCTTAAGGCAAGTAGCGGTCGGGGGTTTTCCGTCTTCTAGTAGAACGCTGCAATGCAGTCGGGTTGGGTGTCGACTGGGGGGTCATTCGTGGAGATCCTTGCAGGCTCTGAGACCAAGTCCGCAGGGTCGTCAGTTAAGGCCACCATCAATTCCTCTGTGGCCGTAGGTATGGCTTCCATTGTGGGAAGCCATACCAACTTTTTGCATTTATACACTTTGCTGAAATGACATTTTAGGTGCCAACATGACATGGATGGCAGGGTACTGTGGCACGTCTCCACTGACGGAGGCGCGCCCATGGCTGGTTGTGGGCGCGCCACTGTAATCATGCTCTACACTGTAATCATGCTCTATAAATTGCAAACCTTTTTTAGGGCGCTTTTGCCGTGCCTTTTGCCAAAGAAAAAGCTCGCTGAGCACGGAGAGTGACACGACCGTTCTTAGGCCTAACCACTTTCACGATATGACTGTTCGAAAGCAGATCACAGACGGTGGCGTGTTTGTTGTCATCAATGCATCCAATGGACGAAGAAAGTCCGGCACTGGGCAATTCCTCGACCCTATGTTCGCGAGGCGTGCGCACCGTGCCGCTCGGTTTCACAGTTGATCACTTCCGCAACTACGCAATTGCAGCCATTATAAGAGCGACTTGGCTTGGCTTGACTTGGCCTGGCTGCTTGGCGGCAAAAGAAAATTAGCAGGTTTGGTGGCTAGCCGGCTAGCTAAGTGGGACGCAGTTCCAGACTCGCGGAGCTGAAAATTGAAAATGCATTCATTACACGAGAAGAAAGAAAATGTCAAAATATTGAAGGCTGTTGTGGGGGTGCGTTCATTATGTGAGTGCATTCATTATGCGAGTAAATACAGTACTTGGAAAAAAGCAGTCCCCTTGCGGTGAACTTTTCAATCTAGCCTTGTAGAGTCACTGAGCTACACTCCAGAGTAATGGCACCTTTTTCTTCTTGTTAACCAATGCTTGGTTTGCATTGCACAAGGTTTTTCTCGCGTCAGTGGCTCTTGGACATCACTGTGTTTCAGACAGCTTTGTGAGTACCACTGGTGACAGGTGTGGCTCTTAAATGTGACTGTATATTTTAGATCTGCTGTTTTTTGAAGACTGGTGATCACGTTTTATTGGATTGCGGGCTGTTTGAACTAGCGAGAAATGGCGGGCATCTCCCATGCTTCTGTTGGGCAAAAGTTGGCGACAGTTCGCACTGCTCGTGCTACCCAGCATATTTTGCTACTCTTGAGCATGCCTCGTTCAATAGCGCTAACTGCACCTGCATAAGAAAAAATGACCTTACAGGATATGCACTTGGGCACGGCTTGCGGGAGCTTTTCAACAGCTTCTTTGGAATGGTGTGTTATTTGCCCAAAAAGCCAGCTGTTTCTAGCCGTCTGCTCGTCCTCTTGTTAAGCCCCATATATTTGTTCTTTTCAGAAATGTCAGATTTTCCTCTGTGGCACCAAGAAGGACCTGATCAAGGAAGAGGGCCGACCTCGTGCTGTCCATTGGAGCGATGCTCTGGAGTATGCGGACGCCATTGGGGCCAAACTGTTCGAAACCTCGAGCAAGACCGGGGAGGGCATTGGTGAGTGTTCCCAGCCAGTGCGTGTCCTTTGCTGCTCAATTGGCTCCACGTCTTCCATGCTAGCCTACTGACCTCGCAAGGAGCCGAGGTTTTACGAAAGTTGAGGTCTGGGGTAGCTGCATACATTAAAGCACCAAGTAGAAGCTTGTATTGCAGGCTCAGATGTCATTAGTTTAATTTTTACTCCAGCTGCTTGCAATGTGGGCAGACGTCTGTTTGCTACCGCACGATGCATGTTAATGCCCTTGAGCTTAGCTCCTAGATACCATTCCAGAAGAGAGTGGCACCATTGTTAGCATTGATGCACATGGAGCATGCTATGCTGTGCACAGGGCCGGCCATACACCATGAAGCACCCGGGGCGAACTTCAACCGTAGTGCCCCCCCGCCCCTCCCCTCTTTTTATATGCCCCTATGTACTAGGTACGACATCACATTGTTAGTAAACATGTGAGTAGTGGCCCAACACGAGCGTTCTGTCAGACGAGAACTGCATTCCAAACATGAACGGTGATTGAGCATATATACTCCGTTCACCCTTAAGCTGAAACTAGAAGCTCCGCCTTCAGCGCGAGCCTGCTGGCTTCCGCGGTGCATTGGTTGCGCGTGCCTGCGCGTTCACACTTGCGTTAGCAAGGGCAGAAAGCTCACCCTGAAGGCGGAGCTTCCTGTCTCAGCTTAAAGGGGCAGTGCAACGGTTTTAATGTTGAAAGAATTGCCAGTTTGCCTTTTTTTTTTGTTCATACAAGCCCAAGTGACCAAAAACGTGTCACTTTTCCCCGAAAAACTGCTATTCCGCTGCATAATCGCAAGGCAAAAAATGAATTATTTGCCGATCTGCAGCCGCTTGTGATGTCTACGGGAACTAAAATGACAGCGTCTCTGGGGGTACGTGGAAGTCAGCAAACCCTGTCCCCCTCCGCTGCTACACTCGCCGTCAGCCCCGTGGCAAACTGTCCTTTGTGTCCATCGCTCGCCGCGACCTTCGACGAGGCTAATCCTTTGAAAGTCGACAATCGCGGAGGATGCGGCTGGTCTCTGAAGGGAGGACCCAAGGGGAAACTATGTGGACCCCCAGAGTACGTCACTCGAAAGTCGACGTGGAGAGTAGAGAGGCACTTTGACCTTCGATTTGTTTCATTTTTTTAAAATAAGAACTTGCGCTCGCAAGAAAATACAGTTTTCTGCTTTTCGTTCCATGGGTGACGCAGATTAATTTCCGCAATTAACTGGCCAAAGTCTGAAAATCGTTGCACTGCCCCTTTAAGAGTGAACAGAGTATAGTTTCGTGTCGGGCACTGTGTTCAAATAAATCAAAAAGCAAAAGCAAAAAAAAAAAAAAAATCAAAAAGGGGCGCAGCGGCATGGCACCCTCGACAACCGCCCTGGTCAGCCACTCCTAGGGCTGGCCATGGCTCTGCAGATCGCACGTTGGGCCATGGATTTGTAAACATTGAAATGGTCTTTACAGGGCTGGCCAAAGTGCTGTGCGATGGCGGAGACAAATGTGGCCATATTTCATGACCGATTAACTTCCAGCTATGTTGACATCCATAGATCAAAGTTTTGTTTTTTACTGACACGTTGAACACCTTAGCCAGTGTGCCAGTGGTGAGTTTCGTTTGTGGCTTGGAACTGTCTTTGTTAATTAGTGAGTAATTATTTTATTTCTTATTTATTTGAATCATTAAATAATTTTAGCGTGACATGAGCTTTGCTGCACTGCAACATCAAGTTTAGTTTGGCCGCGTAGTTGATATTTTTTGCAGTTTATTTTTTAGTTTTTCTTAGAGTAAAGGCTGCAATCATTCAGAACACAACACCACATTTACTTATGTTTGAGGGGATTCATGTGACAAATTAATGAAGGTTTCAGAATGCTGAACATTCCGTTAATTTCCACTTATTTCAGAAGTTTCTCTGTGTTAATCAATTGCCACTAGATAATCAGTCAAGAAAACATCACTAATGTGGCCCCTTCCCCTGGCAAATATCAAGCACTCACAGATTTGGGACTCTGAGTATCCGGTCTCGGCGGTGGAGCAGCCGAGTGAGTGCTCTCAGGGGCACACAATGCAGCTGCTCTGCTCGCTGCTACAGTGTAGACCGCATATAACGTATGTCGCGGGAGTCGCGAAAATCCGCACTATAAGCGGTACCGCGTTATAACCGAAACATCAATTTTTCAGGCCAAAATACATGCCATGTGACAACTTACCTTTGTAAAAGAATTTATTTTATGTTAGATGAAAAATAAAGCTTATTTTGAGGAAAGTCTTTATTTCACCAGACTAGTACACTTCTCTCTCAAGTGTGTCACACATTTTGAAAGAAATGAGCGGCTTTTGCCTGGCGCAGCCTCTTAGCCGCGTCGCGGGTTGCGGACGGATGTTGCGAGCGTTCAGGATTGCTAACCCTAATCACTTTTCTCCGGAGATGAAAACGCGTGAAAATTCGGATCCTTCATACGGTACGCGCCAGTATTACCTTGAACTTGAGCACACGCATGAAATGCGCCAAATAAGAAATCCGGGCGATGTTCGAGGACACAAATGCTTAGAAATCACCACTGTAGTCGAAGTAAACAAACACGACGACACGGGCGTTTCTGCCGTCTTGAGAGCGCCGCCACGACATCGCCGCTCGAGTAGGTGGATCTTCCCTTCCAGTACGTGCTGGGTTATCATAGCGACACACAACGAAAATTCACAGTCAAGGATAGTGCTTTTACGCGGAACGATGAGATGAACGCCGTCTACGACGACGATCACAACGTTGATCACAACCGACGCTATGTTCGCGGATAGAAACAGCCGGCCCGCGAGTCGCGACGGGCATGCAACGCGCGCGAACACTTCTCCTCGACCTGCTATTGGTCTGTCGTTGCGGTTGTTGGTTTCCAACGCAGCCAGGGACGGCGCCAAGGGGAGGCGAGGGGTGGCGGGCGCCTCCCCTAAAATTTCTTCTGCCACCCCAAGATGAAGCAGCTTTGTACACAAATAATTGCCTACGACGTCGGCTTGAAGACCCAGTTTAACGAGTGTCTATAGACTTTAGAGCCGTTCATGCCTTTATTTTTTTTTTCTATTAACTTCCAGCCACTGGAAGTCGTACCGCAGGCGAGTAAGCTATCTAGCGCTTTTGAAAAAGCAGCTTCCCTTTGTGACGCCTGCTGGCTTTTCTCTCCGTACTCCGCTCTGTGGTGCTTATCCTCAGCGGAGACCGTAGACGTGAACGAAGGGGAGCTTAGTTAAAGTCGAGGTCATGGGGAATTACGGACTGTCTCAGAAAGGGAAGCAAAACTTGGTTGTGAGTCTGAGCACAGGGGGCCGAGGTCCCTGCTGTGATAACCCCCTCCCCCCCCCTCCCCTCTTTCTTCTCGTGTCTCCGCATTTCCCTTTTCAATGAGCACACCGCATAAGCTATCTTCGATAAGCCCGTGGGCGACAGCACCTCAGAGCAACCCCCCCCCCCCCCCCCCCCTCAAATTTGGTTTGCCTCCCACTGCCTCCCCCATTATGAAGATCCTGGCGCCGTCCCTGAACGCAGCGGAGGGACGCACGCACGTGAACGACACGTGCGTGCGTCCCTCCGTCGCTAGGGCAACTGAAGCCTCTCTCTTCGCTTCTCCCGCTTCTTCGAGCACCCTCTTTGCACCGCGAGTGCCGCTTGCGCAACGCTTGCGGCTCCCGCCGTCAGCGCCGTTATCTAGTGTCGCACAGGCAAGCGTGCTCGCTGCTCCGGTCGTCGGCGCGGTCGGCGGGCTGTGCCACAAACCGCACTATAACCGGTATTTCCCTTCGCGCGCCTGCGTTTAAGCGGTATGTAATTACATGGAGTTCTATGGGAGGCGAACCGGTGGTTTAAAAAAACCGCGTTATACCCGGTCCTGCACTATAAGCGGTTACGTTGTAAGTGGTCTATACTGTATTTCCACTTCTGATGCCTCGTCAGCCCCGCGTACAGCACAGAACTTGTCGGGCTGGACAAGCGCAGCTTATATTTACTGCCGTAGCTTATAAGTAGGATTCCATGTTTACGGAGTTTATTTTTCGTCAAATTCGAAGGGTTTTTTTCTGAGTTAATTTCTTGCCAAATATTTGGAGGTTATCCGAGTTTATTTTTGTTTGATTCCCCAATTTTCTGAAATTCGGTGCTTAATTTTGCAGTGTTTCCTATTTTTCAAAACTAAAAATCAATAATATTGATGTGTAAACATGTGCTAAATTCAAAAGAATGCGATTGTATCAATTAATATTTCAACAGCTTGATTTGGCGTCGGTGCCGTTGCCACTGGCAATACAAATTTTTTCCCCGACAAAAATGGCAAACAAGTGTGGCTTCGATGTAGTCGCTTGGAAGCTCGTATTCATCCCGTTTCATCAAGTTCATGTCAACCTACCTCGTGGTTGCTCTGGTTGGAGTGGTCAAAGGCCTAATATAAAACCTTCAACTGCCCCCCCCTTCCCTTTCCTGTTCTATAAAATCTCTATGGTTCATATCATAGCTTTCACTGTTTGTTATAAAAACACAACCCCTCCTTCCTTCAAGAAGCACAAATAGTATGGCCCAAACTAGAAACGGGAACAGTGGGGAAGGGGCTATATTGTGAATGTATTGAGCACAAAATTTCTACATCATCTAACAGTGGAGTATTTGCCAGCAAGTTGCATGTCACTCTGTAGGGCTCATTTGCATTGTGCTAGTAATGCCAGTTTTTCACACAAGCGGCTGCAGAAAACGAATCATATCTATTGTCACACATAAGTTACTTTTAGGTATTGGTTGTCTTGTCCCAAACCAAAGAGGCCCTAATTGATTTCACAAGTTCACAGTCGAGTTCAAGGTAGAAATCGCCAGTGGTGTAGCTAGGGATTTTTCGCGAGGATGTTTGACTGCATTGGTGCTGTTGCGAGAACAAGGAGGAAGGACAAACTGTGCATATATTGCTTTTTGTTAATGTTTTTCAATTAATATTTACCTTTCTTTCACCATCCCTA